GGTCTGAACTGGGAAAAATGTTATTCCAGAGTGAGCATGTCCACAGATCTACTCTGAAGTAGCCGTAGCATTTTAAACCATAAAATAGGAATTTTAAACCCGAATATATGAATGCCATTTCCTCAGGCAGGCGAGTCTTTACATACAGAACTATTTTCTATACATATATATTTACTTTGAAACCAAATCGACAAAAGGCCATCTCAAACTGGGACAAGGTGGCTGTGAAATCCACACTTCCAATTATAACTTTCATTAAAGAAGTATCTTAATTGCTGCCTTTACTACGATTTTCCTTGAGCTGCCCCTAATCAGATGCTGCTCTGCCTTCCCCGATGCTCTGCACCAGTGATAATTAACACTGTTCTGCTAACGACTTGCTAAAGGAAGGTCATTAGCATTCTTGCTATTTAAGTAGCTCATTAGATCTAGTTTATCAGCCTGCTCACCTAAGGAAGTTGGGGAAGGGCGAAAAGTGAAGGGTGACAAGCAATAGGCTTATTCTTAATTTTTTTCCAGGTAATATTGGGAGCTGCACAAAGCCCCGTTAAAACAAACCAGAACAGCTCAGATTTGCTCACAACTAATTAAAAGGTCACTCACACCCAGACCTCCTTTTTGCAAGGAGCCTGTTCCGAAAGCAGATCACACTGGTGATCCCGGCTGCCGGGCGAACCAGCCGCCCGGGCACGGCAACCCGACACGGCACCCGGGCGCGGGGTCTGCCCCGAGGAGCCCGTCAGAGAGCCAGCAACCCGGGTCCTGCTGCCATGTGCATAACCAGAGATGGACAGAGGGGGAGAGCTTCTGCATGCCCCCCAGCACAGGGATGAGCGATGGGGTCCTCCCTCTCTCAGAGCCCAGCTGCCAGACCCTGGCGTCCTGTCCTCCACCGCTCGGCCGGAGGGGCTGGAGGTTGTGTCCCACACGTGAAGGGAAGGTGCAGCAGCCAAGGGGGTCAGGACAGGCGGGTGCCACCCCCAGATGGGTACAGGGAGTCGTTGTTAGCCCATCAAAAGGAAAAGCGCTGATCTCCAGCACTTCAGAACACCATCTGTGACGTTGATGTTGCCAGGTGACAAGCAGATACAGACAGGTTTCAATCCCCAGACCTGATGGATGGGTTCCCAGGGGAAAGAAGAAAGAATTTAATAAAGCAGGAATCTAACAGGAGAGCCAACAGGACCGGAGCAGCACGGACAGCGCGTGCCCACAGCAGCAATCGCCCTGGCACGTGGGGAGAGCACAGCCTGCAGAAGGTGCCTGTTTCCCATCCCAGCCAGGGCGAGGAGCAAGGCAAGGGTGGGAGAGGAAAGCATGGCTGTGCTCACACAGGAAGCAAATGACAGACTGAGGGGAAGGAAATACAAAATACAGCCTCAAAACAAAAAATATGACCGTCTGTACTTGGCTTTCTGAGGCTGAAGAGTATGTCAGCGAGTGGAGGAAGCCTGTGGTCGGTGTGAAGGAATAATGCAAACCCTGAGCAGGGAGGACAGGTCATGCACGCGTGTGCACACATGAACACATAAGTGTACATACAATTATTGAATTTTAAAGGACAACAAACATATAAGCAGAATTAATAATCCAAAGATCTGGAGCTATAATGCAGTGTGAGAAGAGTTACCGGCATTTCACACTCTGCTGCTGAACACCTCCCCGGGGCTCTCTGGGTCTGAAATGCTGTCCGGGTACCAGGGCACGGGAAGGGCAGTTAGACCTTTCTGTGATCCTCAACGTGAGCGGTGGGATTTGGGATAGTTCTCTTCACCGTCCTGTGCTCCAGCTGCTGTCTCTGCACAGTGGGACCTTTCAGAGACAGGGAAGCACTCAAGATATTTGGGTGTCATGCATGGCTCACGTGAAATTTCTCACTGCCTACCTCAAGGATAGAGCATGGAGTTATACTCCAGGTTGTTAAACAAGAATTATTTCAACTCTGCAGATTATCACAAAGGTCCTGAAAAAGTTACACTTACCTAGGAATAAAAACTGTCTCATGCAATGAAATACTGCAGCAATGCCCGTTCCTGTTTGTGAATGGACAGGCAGCGCTGAGTTAGAGTCATTGATCTCAGCGCTTGGCAGGTACTAAAACCTCACACAAATTACAGCTGCCACCCTGAAACTGCATTTGCATAACTCCTTTGTAAGTCAATCTTCAGCCTTTTTACCATGATAAAAGTTATCGATATTTAAAGAGACATGAAAAGTAACCACACACATGGTTCCTTCCACTCAGCATTTAAACGCTAACACCTGCTGGGGGCTCTGGGTGACCCTAAGGAACTGCATGGCAAGATTGGGAACTGACTGCGGAAAAATCCAAGTCTGCCCTTCAACTCTTCTGGCACACCACGGAGCAGGGGAGCAACCGCACCCGTGAGGCTGCAGCTGTTAAGCACCTTCTGCGTTCCACGTGAGGATTATAACATCAATACGACATTTGTTGTGTCCAGCAGACGGAGACAACTGCTGGGACAGCTCAGTCCTACAAGGCTGCGGGTATCCGGTTCTTTACTGCTACAGGGCATCTCGCTATGAACCCCCCAAAACCACGGAAGATTCCAGCCACATTTGGATTGAAACACTGCTCGTTACTGAGGGAGCTTCGGGAGGATTATGTGAGCAGTCAGAAGCAATGGCAGATCTCCAGGAGCTTGGATGAGCCCCGAGTGATCAGGGGGGCTGAGCTTCACCCATCCTGAGCACGCCTGTTCCTGCCGTTTGTTTGATTTACCCTGCCTCCTGCCTCTCCTCCAAGACCTACACTCTGCACTTGGTCTGCTTCATGGTAACTCCGGAGGAGCAGCAGCGTGAGTCCGTGTCCTCAGGCTGGGGATTCCCAGCAGGATACGGGAACTGCCTTCCCAAATTTCCCTTAAAGCCAACCGGAGTAGGTTGCTCAGCTCCCATAGACTGCCTTGAAAATCCTACTCACACCCCAAGCCACTCCAGTAACCTGCCCAAGGGAGATTTCTCTCCTGCATGAAGGTCTCCATCCTACAACACCGCGGGACAATTCCAATGACAACCACGTGCTGATTTTCCCAATCGAGTTCATTGCTTGTCTCAGCTCTGGTGGAAAAGTTGCCTGTTTGTCCTTTCACTTTAAACAGAATTTGTTTTTCTGTGTTGTGTGAAAGCTGCAGTTGCCCTTTCAGTCACTGCAGCACAGGGAGCGTGAGTCAGCCGGGCCAGTCCGGAGGCTACAGAAAAGGATGCTGGAGCCTTCCACAGCGTGAGCTGCCGCAGAGCCTCGGACGTGGAGGCTCCTCCCAAAGGAGAGCTGCCCAACGTCTACAGCATTAGAAAAGAGTTATTAAAAAAATCATAATTAATATTTTCCCAGTCTAAAGAAAGCCTAAGGCAGCTATTTCAGGCTGGCATCCTTAAGTAACCCACAGCTTGCTTGATGTCCAACCACTAGAAAGTCAAGGCACATTATTTTCTACAACCAACGTCCTTTTTTAATCTGTGACACTGACGAGCCCTAGGCAATGTTCAAGATTAATTGCAATCATTCAGAGTCCTCACCATTCCTCCCAGACATCCCTCTTATATAAGAAAAAGAACGAACGTGCAGCAGAGTCACCTGAGGCAGCCTCGCCTGCATCTCAGACCCTGCCTCCGAAGCACGCTGACCTGCTTATTTTATTCTCCTCTTTGAGCTTCCCCATGTCTCTTCCAGTGATTCCTTTGTTCTCGCCACTTTCAAATAATTTCTAAAATAAGATCATTTCTCCCTGGGTGCCCAGAACATTGAAGTAAATAAAGAGTAAGCCAAACTGTACATATTTCTTCTCTTGAGATATTTCTCATTTCTTTGGTCTGTTCAGCCTTGTCTGTATCTGTCTCTTCATGTATGGTTCAGAGCGCTATAGAGCACCTATATCATTTTTGGGAACTGGCAGTCAAGAGTAAATATTTATGCATATAAAATATATGTAAATATGTATAGATACACACACCAGTGTCTATGGGACGAATAGATGACAAATGACAGTTTTAACAACAAAGAGGTCCACAGGACCCGGCAGCTGTGTCACGCAGCAGTGCTGAGCACATCCAATTCTGTCTCTGAGGTGACGGGAGTGGTGAAAGTCCCAGTTACAGCACTGGAAAACTGCAGCACCTCCAACACAACACGAGCAGTGCCACTCAGGGCTTGACGCAGAAGCTGCTATAGTCTATAAATGCTGATCTGTGTTCTCTGAAACTCAATGCATCAAACTCCATGGAAGGGTGCAAAGGAAAGAAATTATCCAAGTACATCTAGGTTTATTTTCCTCATTAAATTTCCCTGGGCTTATACTTTTAGCTGTGAGTGTTCTCACTCATTGCCAGCTTTTGGAGCAGGGTCTTTTCTTTTGCTCTGCACTAAGATAACAGTGAGATCTCCAGTCCGACCAAGGCCAACAACTGCAGCAGTACCAGAAAGGAATACTACTAATAATAAACCCAAAACGCACACACCAGAAAGGGATACCGATAAAAACCCCAAAGCGCACACACCCATCCTGCCGTGGATTTTGCACCATCATTTATTACCATACAAACCAGGTTCAGAACAGCAGCAGGTCAGAGCAGCAGCGTGTCGCCGCCCATCACAGATCTCTGGCTGATGAGAGCAGATTCACAGTCAAACACCCGCACACAACCCTGTTCCAGTTTGATTACTGACGGACCTGTGTCCACACCGCAGCAGCAACCCCTGTCCCTCTCCAGAGCTGTCTGGAAGCTTTACAAATGCCCCAGGCTGAAAGGATTTAGAAGCTCACTCCTTGTGCCCAAGTGTTCCTTCCGAGTTTGAACGGCAGCCCACGGATAACGTAAGCACGAAAAAAGTTGCACTGCACTGCACGGCTTCCCTCTCTGCTGATAGAGACAGGCCTGCCTCCCCCGGCAGGGTTCAACGGGGCATGTTAGATAAGCAGTTAGTAAACAACAACAACCACGGGCACGAAGCCCTGCCAAAACCTGCTGCGGGCACTTACAAATCCGATCAGATAAGGACTGCCAGCATCTCCCAGGAGGTGCGAAGTGAAGCTCTGCAAGGCCACGGCGGTTGCACGGCGTGTCGGGATGACCACATACTGCAAAGAAAAAAGGGAAAGAAAAAAAAAAACCACATAAGGAACAGAACGAAAGAACCTGTCCAGCTGTCTGTATTGCCCAGTTTATGCCCAGGCCAGGACACAGCAGACACACTGCCCCAGGTGTCGGTGGCACGCAGCCACGTCCAGTCCCTGGGTGGCTCAAGCAACTGGGGAGCTCTGCTGCCCTTCCTGGCTTTCCAGTGCTCCCAACGGCAGGTGTGGAGGGAAGGGAGCTCTGTCTGGTCCGAACGCCTCTCAGCATGAGTTTGTCTTTCAGCTTTGCCCATCAGACACAGCTATGGCTGCTCAGCCTGTGCTTTGCTTGGCTGACGAGGAGAGGGAAGTTCGAGAACTTGCTCAGTGCCGTCAGCCTTCCACATGAGGACTTTGCTGTCTCCTGGGATATTTTGGGTTTTCCATACCAAAGATATCATTTTGTTTCCTTACTTATGAGCAATTCATATCTGTATAAAAGGTCATCTTCCCCTCCTGCCCCATCTCTAGACACTTTATTTTTTTTGTCAAAAATTTGCGATTCCACTTGTGAAAGGTGACAAAGACACATTAGGAAAATTTTCCATAGCCAAGATATTGTAGCTTGATCCCCACTTCTCTGACAGGACGTAACACCCTTGCCCAGGTCATTCAGTATCAGTCTGACTACACAGGATCAGTGGGAAACACAAATTATTATTAACACGACAGAGAAAATAGAGCCCTAACCATGGAACAGGATGAAAACTAAAAAAAGAAAAAAACCCAACAAACCCTCATCCTGTGGAATGACCTTAATTTTAAAACACAAATTTAGGAGCAGAAAAAAGTATCTCCTGCATAAAACTCGTGAAAGGAGCTGGCTACGAACATCTGCATCGAGTCCACATGTCCTAGTTCAGAACTCGATCCTGTCTTGATTTACAGGCTGTAAGTGACGAGGAATTCAATGGGCCTCTAAGTCCAAGTGAGCTTAGTTTCCACTTCTAAGCACTGAACCCCATCCTGCCTTTTTCTGTTGCTGTGACGAGCCATCTACCCTGCCAGAAACGACTCTCTTGTTTAGCTGTTGGTACACCAGGATCCCTTCTACCTGTCCGCTTTCTCTCTGAGGGACTGCCTTCAGTCTTCCTTCAGAAGGGATGCCTTCCCAGACTTCAACTCCTTGCAATCCCTTCCTGAGGTCATTTATTACATGTGACATTTCAGGGCTGGCATATCCCCAGCTAGAGGCACACGGAGGTGAGTTTACCTGAGCTGACCGAGGCAGGGAGAACTCAGTGCACAGGACCTGAAGCACTGTTTTAGCACCTTAACGCTTCCTCTTAGGGAAGGTGAGCTGCCCTGTCTGCAGTGGGAAGAGTTAGACATAAAAAAAGGGAAAGAAAAGAAACAGTGTTGAGAAAATCTGCACTAGAAGAGAACTGATGCCTCTTTAGACTGATCAGCTCATTCCAAGCAGAGGCAATTAAGAGCAATGGATGCAATGAGATTAAATGCTTTCCCTTAGGGTTCTACCACGTGCTTTCAGAATGACCTGCCACGTCTGTCACTGCTGCTTTGACAAAGCTGTAACTGCACACTGCTAACGTGCTTTGACGCCACGTACTGAACGGGAACCCTGTTAGACTCCTGTTGTGCAACACAAGAGCAAAAGATGGGCAGATCCACAGCAGACACCTGGCTGCGGATGTTAGACACCGTCCTCCTTTTGCATCCAGGAGCTCAAAACAGACTTGAAGGCTCACAGAGGTCCCAAGAGGAAAAAAAGGTCCAGACGTTGCTAGTGACAGAAATGTACTGAAGGTCCCACTGTGAAAAAAAAAGGTTCAGACGTTGCTAGAGACAGAAATGTACTGAAGGTCCCACTGTGAAACAGCAGGAGAGCCTCCCAGTTCATTACTGTTCCCCAAAGATGCAGGGCAATGGGTGCAACATGGATAGATCAGACAGAAGAAAAAAAAAAAAAAAAAGATTTATTGTTCTTCTTCCCACCTGGCCCCAGTTCACAAGGTGCAATGGAGAAGCATTCTGCAAGAGCTGTTTGAGAAAAGGGCATCCGAGAAGATACAGTGAAATTCTACCTAATTCAAGAGTCCAGAGTTGTGCAGATCTGTGAAACGGGGAACTTCACACTTATGTTAAAATATTCTTATTTCTCTAAAGTTTGTGTTAATAAATCTGGAGAAGAAAGCCTGCCTGGCTCTACATTCTATCCATTTTCTTAGGAAAATGACAAAGAATATGGGAAATTTATTCAAAACTTACCATTTCAGGGAGGGGCAGTGAATCGGTGCCAGATGGAGAAAGAAGTTTGAACGACACCTGCATCATATGTGTGTGTGTGCATACATATGTATTGATACACGTGAACACACACACATATATTATACAGACATTTGCATGTGTATCTGTGTTATGCATACATGCAGTTTTGCAAGTAGCAACACAATTTCCAGCAAGTTTTCGCTTTGCCTAGCTAAAGAAGTGTGGCATTAAAAAGTGCCAGAACTTGGCAGATTTAGTCTGGAATTCAAGTGACGACGACTCGCACACCACACCACCCCCAAACCAAAACCCCAACGTGCAGCAAGCAAATGAACGTGAGATTTTTCCTCCTCCTCTAAAAACATATTGGAAAGAAAAAAGGCTTAAACCAGCATCACCAAAACAACAAAAATACTCCACCCTATCCCTGCTCGAAAAGCATTTTATTCTGATGGAGAGGAAGCAGTTGGTAGCAAACATTATCTGCTGTTCTAGGAAGATGGCACTAAATTACAGCTCTAAATGGGCATTTTGATACTAAAATAGACTCAAATTCAAACCATCCATGGCCTGGTTTGAACATCCCACAGAAACTGGAGGTGGGAGAGCCACAGCAGACCAGGCGGAAGCCTGTGGGATGGTCCTGGCTCATCCCTGGCCTCCAGGTTTGGAAGCAGGCAGCCCAGGGGATGGGCAGGGAGGCTGACCAGGCAGCTTTGGCAAACCTCTGCTTTTTAAATAGAGGTTCTGAAAGGCTGTGGTTTGCTGCTGACATCCCCTTCCTGCAGCAAAACCAGCAGAATGAGCTGGTCTGAAGTAAGTTAACCAGGAAAGCCAAGCAGAGCTCACCCTTCTCCCAGGAAAAGGCCACGTGCCAAAGACGGGAGTCCTGATCTAATCCTGGTCTAATCTTTGATATCATAGAATCACAGGATGGTTTGGGTTGGAAGGGACCTTAGAGATCATCCAGTGCCACCCCCTGCCATGGGCAGGGACACCTCCCACCAGCCCAGGTTGCCCAAAGCCTCATCCAGCCTGGCCTTGAACCCCTCCAGGGATGGGGCATCCACAGCTTCTCTGGGCAACCTGGGCCACTGCCTCACCCCCCGCACAGGAAAACATTTCTTCCCAAAATCTCATCTCCATCTCCCCTCTTTCAGCTTAAACCCGTTCCCCCTCGTCCTGTCCCTGCACCCCCTGATAGAGTCCCTCCCCATCTCTCCTATAAGACTCGACTCTCTGAACAACTCACTGTCCTTCCTGAGTCAGACAGAAATCTTCGGGACAACACGTATTGGTGTCTCGGCACCAAAGGCACAGAAAACGCACACTAACGCCATTCCAGCCACTGACAGAGCTTGGGCATAGCCCAGGTGTCCCTGGTGTAACCAGAAAAGGCAAAAAAACCCAGGACAGGCTGTGACCCAGAGAAGCCAGCCCAAGAGAGACCCTTCACCCAAGCTAGGCAGGCACTGTCTGAAAAAACACCTTTAAATGAAGCAAAAGGGGGCTGACCTGGTCTGTAAATCACAGCACAACACCGAGCGGCACACATCCACCTGCAAGCCTCGGCCCCCAGACCTGCGGAGATGCCCCCTGGCACACCCTCCCTGCTCTGAGCTGTGCCCAAGGGTTTGAAGCGGGCTGCGTACCTTCAAAGCGCTCCTCACCCTGCCCTAGAAGCTAAACCACAGCCCTCAGGTTACTCACATGCGGAGGCACGCTGAGAGAAGCAACAATGAGAACTTCTGGAAATGCTGTCTATCTTCGGCTGTAAAAATAGGGCAGTATGGTACACTATATAAATAATGGGTTTTTGTTTATAGGGGAGGTGAGCAGAACAAAAGGAACGTTCCTCCGTGCCTACAGCACAGCTGAGCTCCAGCCTGTGCCTGTTCTGAGCCCAAAGGCAGACTTTGACCCTATAGTGAAGCATTAAGGCAGCTCCTCCACGGGACCATTTAAAAAGAACTCATGTTTTAAGAGAAAAATACGCAGAGCATTTTTTTGCATGAGTGTCATGTCTTTGCATAAACTGGAGGATGGCTTTTCTCAGCAAAGGCAATAGCTCAGGCCCTTTAAATCGCCTGCTGCCTCTACACAGAAATGCCACCATGCCTCTGGCCATCTTTTTTTTTTTTCTTTTTTGAGATGTGCTATGGAGGAAAAGCCCCACTCTCAGGAGCGGATTCCACAAAGTTCCAAGCACTCAGCACATCTCAGAACCTTACACGCCTGCCCGCTGCACTGCAGCTCATTCGTTATTGCTTTTACAAGGCAGTTTTAATGCTACTTTGGGGTTCTGGTAATTTTGAGGCCAATTTGCAACAACGGCTGATAAAATCTGTTTCATAATTAGCATGCTCCGTAAGAACCAACCCCCCCCTTCCCTAAGCACCGTCTGAGCATGTGCCTGGGAGGAGATCTGGAGAGTTGTGCTCAGGAGAATAAGGCTTGTTTTGGACAAATTTGCATTTGGAACAAATCTCAGCCTTTAAAAATCTCCAGCAGTGCGGTACCTTCTGCAGTGCGGATGGTTTATCCAGCCCAGCGCTCACACCTATTGCTGCAGACCACAGAGGAGCTGCACACACACCGCCAAGAGCTGGGGATGCAATGGAAACAGAAAGCTGTGAAAAGCCAACAATTAAATGTGAAGATAATAAGCAAAGACCCTGATTTTGCCAAGGAAATGAAACTTGCAAAACCTCTGACGACGCTTACCAACCTGCCCGATAGGGTTCTTAGGCAGTCGTGAGATTTGTAAATCTTGGGAGAGCTATGAGAAATCATTGGGGACGCAGTTTCCAAAAAGCCTCACTTCTGGCATAATGAAATCAGTGGGAACAGTGTTCAGCCAGTCCTGAGAGCTTTTTAGCCGTGAAAACAGGATAATATTTATGTATATGATGAAAGTGTTGTTAAGCTTGTGCTAATAATGCTTTTAAACTCCTCACCAGCCTCAGGCAAGAACAGACACGCTTCTGATTACACCAAATAAATAGTAATCAGGAGAAATTAATTGGCCTAACATTTAAAGTGCATCTCGCTAAAGCGCGTCCACACCTTTCTCTGGCGAGGACTCCTTGCAGAGCTGTCTGTCCAACACGGTTCTAGCCCTGGCTCTGACCCGCTGCCTGCCCCTCAAACCCCCTGTGTGATAGGAACGCACCCCAGACCATCTGCTTATCGGCTCGCGTTGGTCTAAGCCGATGTTTAACATTTATTCGTACAGGACATTTACAGCTCTACTCCTGCTGATAGCACATGAAGCCGGGCATTATATATGGCACTCCGTTCATTTGTTTTAACAGACAAGAGAACAGCTCGCTTACGAGTTGGCATCAACCGCCAAAATCCATTTTTTAACATGGTTTTAGTTTCTTTCCCGTGTTTCGGAAATTGGAACTAAGAGATTGTTTCCAATTATTTCCAATCATTTCTTATGGAGTTCTTTTGCACTAAAGCAACATAAATAACTGCAAATGTATCCCTACAAGCTGCAGCTGACTATAGGATGCTGGTAAGACAGATGGCAAACCCTATAAAAGGTAATAAAGAGCTACAGGATGCTGAAGTCACCTTGAAATCAACACAAAAAATCTCAGTAATTAAAACAAGACAACGATGGCGTCCTTACCACACCTGATATAACAAAGTAGTTGGTAGAAAAATGTCTTTGGGGTTAGGCACAGAATTCCTGGAGGACCTTGACCGACAGATACCTCCCTCCAGCTGTGCTACCCTGGCAGCAGAGGTGACGGCCCCAGCTGCTGGGGGACTGCAGATGTGCTTCGTGGCCAGGCCCTTCCTCGGTTCAGGCAATGCCAGTGAGGACAGAAGAGATCTGCTGTTTAAGCCCATCAGCTAATCCTGACCAGGGAGAGCTGGGAGCGCTCCTGTGAACATCCCAGCCAGGGGCAGGATGTGACAGGAAGCTCTGGCAGCAATGAGCAACTGGAAGTATTGCACTGTAATTTCATAGAATCATAGAATAGGATCACAGGATGGTTTGGGTTGGAAGGGACCTTAAAGCCCACCCAGTGCCACCCCCTGCCATGGGCAGGGACACCTCCCACTAGCCCAGGTTGCTCAAAGCCTCATCCAGCCTGGCCTTGAACCCTCCAGGGATGGGGCATCCACAGCTGCTTTGGGCAATTTCTTCCTCGCCACAGCTGTCTGTGGACTGCACATCTGTCTAAGTGTTGAGATACCGCTTAAAGAACAGTCACAGCAGCCTTGAACTCGGCCCAAGCTGCAAACCCTGTGTAAGTACAGAGTAACCGCCTACTCAGCCCCTGCAGAGCTCTGTCACGCTAAAGCTGAGCTGGTAGGAGGAATTAAAAGCTGTGTAATGTTCCTGAAGTACACTGATAACCTTTGTTTCTCTGTGCTTCAGACACATCTGAGAGGAGTGGAATTAACCACCCCACCCCACCTCCCAAATTGTTCTCTGCACAAACGAATTAAAGATGGAAAGTTCATCAGGCAACGCAGCTATGGCAACTACAGAGCTACCTGAAAATATAAACACAGCCTGGAACTTCAATCGTACGCACAACTTCAGCAGAAGCTTGAAAGGTCTCTGCTGAATCAATACATCAACACCATGATCTTTACATCTAGCAATACTGCGGCTGGTTGTTTTCCCGTTGATGTTTTAGCATAAGCAGCAAACACAAGTCAAGGGAGATCTCTGCTGATGCCGGACCGATTATATTTTTAGTTCTGTCAACAAGCTGCCAAAAGCCCTTGGGCAAGTCCTGTGTAATGGTTCTGTGCCCTGGTTTCTTTCTTTTTCATACAATAAGCAACACGTAACCGCCCTCACAATGGGCTTTCAGCACACAGTGTGTTTGATAGGCTCCACAGGTCTCTGACGGAAGCGTTACAAAACATGCAAAGCTCTCCAACCAACCTCCAGACTATTCCGTGTGAAAATGTAGCTGCTGAGGTCAGCTTGCCAATTTGAAAGACTTACAAAAGGTCTATGGTGGAGAAAAGAATGGAAAATGAGGGCCATGAGGTGAAAAGTCCCTGACAGTTTCCTCTCGGACAAGGTGGACATAGTCCAAAAATTCTTTATACTTTCTTTTCCTCCCTCCTCTCCCAGAGGTGGGTTTCTATTGTGTATGTGTTGAATGGTCGGTTTGCTGGAGTTGGGCCAAAGAGAGAGGTGGATGGCTGCCTTTGTGGTCAGAGGAGGGAGGGAGGGAAGGATTTCCTATTGCAGAACAAAGCTGAGTTATTGATAACAAAATCCACTGATGTGCTGACTATTAGGAAATGCCAGCTGATTTCTTTGCATATGGGGGTTTGCACAAATACTTAAAATTTGGGGAAACTACTTGAATTTAGTCATGGTGTCCCTTCTGGGCATTTACTCCCCCTGGTACTTGGAACAAAGGACAAGAATAATCTTTTTTTCTTCCTCTCTCTCACTTTCCTTTTCAATAAGTTAAAAAAAAAATAAAGAAAAAAAGAAAAAGCGAATAGGCTGAAGTAGGGGCTAGGTATTTGGGAGAAACTGTGAACTTCAGGTTGTTCTTGCAAGCTGACAAACTGGCCACCAGAAGAGAAAGATGCTGTTCCAAAGTACACTCACCATCAGTATGTCTGCTGTGATAGCCCAGTTTGAAAACAGAAGAGTTTCTCCGATAAAAATGCAAATCTGTTGTAACAAAACACACAAAAAGGAGAAGATTTATTCACTTGACATTCAAGGGAAAAATAACCTGTCACAAACCTTCCTTTGTTGCTTATTTGTCTCAAACTTACACAAAGGATTCCTCTGTACACAACACACTGCTGGTTACTGTTGTGGTTTATCCTGAAGGTTAGAAAACCCCTAGATTTTTATCAGAGCTCTAGAGGGTTGGCCTGCAACTTCATTAGTGTAAACTGTCCATGATCTACAGAGCAGCTCGATAAAAGGCTGACACTTGGTAACAGAAGAATAAAAGAAGCCAGCAAGAAGAGACAGCCCTGAGCTTCCTATATACTTTAACAATCCTGTTCCAAAAAGCCAGCTAGAAAAGTCAAGGCGGCCACAACTCCCCAAACCAGTCACTTCCATCACTAGGAATCAAGTTATGTGACAAGCTCTGTAGCAAACCAAATGGGGTTCTCTACCCACAGTGAGCAAGGTCCCTTCCCTCCCCTGCCAGCATATTCCTGTCCTTTTTGAGGGGCCACAGGTCTGGGCAGGGTAACAACTCCACCATTCCATTGGGGATATGTACGGGCACGACAGGACTTTTGCAACATTGGTGTTGTATGGTGAGATAGAACTCTTGCCTCTGGAGATGGTCAACAAGATCTATTAAAAACCCCGTGTGTGCAGTGGGATGAGAGCTTCTTTTTGTGTTGGTGTGGTACGGACAGCCATCACATATCCCTTCCACCTCCCTTTCTCCCATCCCATCCTGAATTCTCAGTTGTGCTGGTACGACAGAGCCAAGCAGGGATCCAGAGCAGGAAACTGAGATGGAGCAAAGAATCTTTTGTTGCAGGGAGGTAGGGGAAGAGGGGCTTGGTTTGCTTATTTTTAACCCAAATCAGTTCCCTGGTGCAGTTCACTAAATGGTTCTACCAACACTTACAGCAGTTGAAGAACTGGAAATGATCAAGAGGAGAAACGAATTTAACCTGGCTCATCATTAACAGAGATGTTCATCAAACTGAGTCTGATGGACCAAGGGTGACACAGCTTCGGGAGGAACACTGCCTCCATCAAAAAGCTTTTGACCCACATCTCAACCATGAAACTTTTGCTTTTATGCTGCTGGTTAACAATTTAACAAAGAAATGTAGGTTCAACAGGATGAAGAAACAAGGATGGAAAATCTTCCACACACACGTTTCCCTCTGTGTGTTATGAAGAGCAGAACGCAGAGATGAAGCGCTACGTAAATAACCAGCCTTGTACACCCCAGCTCCCCTGCTCCCCACCAGCGAGAAGGCAAGCTAAACTCCTTGAGCAGATGTCCCCCCAGAAGGTTGCTTCTTTCCCAGCTAACTCATTTCTTTTTGGGGCATCTAGAGAGAAAACATGACTCCTGGAATCCCAGTTGGTAGCTGGAGACAACAGCTATGGAGATTTGGATTCTAGTAATTGACGATTCCCCTTTTACTTGCCTTGTGTTTGGTTTTTGGGATGTTGAGTAGGCTGCAATTCATTAACGACACAAAGCTGGCAAGCAATGCAGAGTGCACCTTGCTCGGAGGAAACGTTCAGATGGATGTTGTCTGGTGGTGTTCTGGGAGCTGTGAGGGACAGTCGCACTGTCCCTGTCCCTGTCACTTGCACAGGCACAGTTTGGGGTGGGAGGAGGACCTCCAAGGCTGGTAGCTACGGCTCTGATGTGACCACTGCAACTGTCGTTCCCACACACCGGGTGAGATTGCCTGAACCCCTCGGACCATGGGGTCACTGCCAGGAAGAGTTTGCTTTATTTAGCAAGTCTTACGCATCGACCCACAGAAAGCTTCCTCTGTTTGTTTCTAAAATTGTCTGGGTTTCCCACGCATTCTCCCTGCCCATCCCCTCTCTTTGTGCCTGGATCTGCTTCCTCCGTGACGGTGCCTGAGCCAGTCATTACAGCCCAGCCGCTCAGCTAGGAAACCTCCTCTTTCCAGTTTCCCAGTGTCCCCTGGTCTGCCTTCAACTTGGCTCTCACTGGAAGTGACAACAGCCAAGCGGAGAAACGTGGATCCAAGGAATCGAGGTGCTGACGGGAGCTGAAGCCATATGTCGTGCAGCAGGGGCTCACCCAAGCCCCCCATGGGCTGGCAGGACCTGCTCTGAAATCTGTCCTTCTGCAGCTTTGCAGCTGCTGTGGCTGGGGTTCTGCAGCCAGAGAGATTAAAGAGAGCTTGGGAAAGATGCAATCACACTGCTGAGCGCGGCACTGACATGCCCTGCCTCTGCAAGCAATATTGCAAACAGGCAGCTGCTTGCCTTGAGGTTATATAAAATACACACACGCGTAGGAATGGCCACACGCAGCAAGCAAACCTTGGCCCCTTCTGCAGGAATTCAGGACGAGTCTTGTACATCAGGGAAATGCTACAAACTTCAGAGTGCTCCAGTTTTGAATTGTTGAATGTGTATTTCAGCCAACACATTTCCGTAAAACACGTGCTTGATATGTGGATAGTGGTAAAAGGAAAAGAGGAACAAGAGGAAGATCAAAAAGTAGGACAAAAGATACTGACATTTTAAAAAGTCCGTCCTTCAGCTGCTAATGGGGATTTACAAAAATGAGTTCATGCCCTGCAAAGGGCATATGAGGATTTGTGGCATTTCTGCTGGAGAGAGACTCTAGGGATGCTAACTGCAAATGGGGCAGCCTCCAGAACAGATCAATAGCTCCTGAAATGGTCTCGGCTTTGACTCCTCACACGCTTTTTGAAGCCTCATTTTACCCTGAGATTTCAGCTCTAGAGAGACATCCTCTTCTGGATCCTGCTGTGTTGTATAATATCTCACCATCTCCATTTGCTGTCCAGCTGCTCATCTGTGATGGGCTGAGAGAAGTTATGTTCCCCTCAAGTCTTCTCTTTATGGGATCAGCTAGCAAATTCTGATTCCCAAAAACGATAAGCCAAGTTGTTTCAGAACGGTTGCACCAGCAGCTCTCACAGCAAGACCTGAACTCCTTCCGTGGCTATTTGCAAAGCGCGTATCTGCCTACATCTCCATTATTTGTATTTCTCTTTGAAATGGTGGGTAAGTCTCCCATGTGTACCCCTGAACTGGAAGCAAGCCTAACTCCATCTCAGCGTCAGGCAATATCGATGCCCCTGAAGCAGGTAAGTCACCAACACCATGTCAACAGAGAGTCCCTGGAGCTGAGGCTGTAAAAGCTCTAGGGCAAGGTTTCACCCCGGGAGCTGCTGTTCCTGCAAGATCATAAACTGTCTTTGAGGAATTGAAATAGCTGGTGAAATGGAGGCACAATAGCAACTTGGAAGAGTGGCAAAAGGCAGGCAAAGCAAAGCATCTCTCTCTGGTCATCTGGGGAATTAAACCAGTCTGAAATCCGCTGTTGAAATGTCTGAGTGGTGTGATACGATGATGCTGTGCAGCTAATGGGTTTCCAGAGACAGGTTTGAAACCCAGCATTTCAAGGAGAACATATTTCAGAAAGAGCAGGACCTCAAGAGAGGCAAATTGCTGTTTTAAGGAGCTGGACTACAGCACACAAATACACACAGTGCAAGAGCACCGAATGAGAACTGATTGGACTGTATAGCCAAGCAAGATAGTCAAAGACAGGAACACAAGTGTCTGGGCAGCTAAATCATACAGAATGCTGGTTTATTCCAACTTTCCAGCCACCTCTACCACTGCCAATAATTTACTGGAGTAGTATGAAAAGATTGGATGGAAAAAAGAAGACTGTCTACCTGCTCCAGGTAGGAGTGGCTGCTACGGACCTGGAATAGCAGCTGCCCTCAGGGACCAAAACCACCTGCAGGACAGGACTGAGCAGGGCAGGAAAGGTACATGTGTTCAGGGGAGGAAGAGAGCAGAGCCTGGAAGGGACAAGGTGATCACGCTAACGCATATGCAGGTCTTTAAAAAAAAAAAAAAAACCAAACAGAAAACAAATCCCAAGAAATTAAAAAGCACAGGCTCTCCTGATTCTTGCTGGAGTGCTGGACACTTCATTTAGCTGATGCCAGTATCCCCTGGAATTAAAAACTCTCGGCTGTTTAACTAGAGCAGGGAGGGAGATGGTGACCTGGTGGCCACCACAGCTCAGTGTGACAGAACCCCATCTCATGGGGACCCACCTCAACACTTGGAGGTGATCATTTTAAAGGCTCTGAGCCAATGAGGGGTCCAAAATGAGTAACCCTGCAATTTTAGCATGGTGTGATCAATGGCAGAAGTCTAAGGACTGTCACAGCACAGGTCTGGAAGTACCACCATGCTGGGGAACAGACCAGAACTTCACTCTTGCCTTTCGCAGTCCTACAGAGCTCCAGGATGAGAGACAGGACACAGTGGCCAAGGAAGCTCTCAGAGACGAGAAAACCCACCGATACATTTTACTGTATTCTTTCCAGAACAAGCTATTATTATGGGTTTTGAGATAAGGAAGGTAACCTAGTCCATCATGCTGTCCATCAAATCTAGGTTTTCCAACTCCAGAGATAGAGAACAGTGTTCTTCTTCATTTTGAACCAATGAGACTGAAAACAGAGAGGAATGAGAAACTGCTACACCATGCAGCCTTGCAAAACAGGTCTCCTAGTGAACGAAAAGGGAATTAAACACCCTGGCAGCCTGTAAGATTGCAACAGCATTGCATGGCATGGAAAAACAAGGGCTCATTTGTTTGAAACGTGCCTTGAAAAGTCAATACAAGTGATATACAGCACCACTGTGACAATACCTGGTGTGATGAGGCGTTGGTAGCTCCACCACAGACCTGTTTTCTCGGTGGGGTTACCACCTGTAACACTGAGCAGCAACACCAGGAGCTGTTGTGCCATTCTTTGCTGTTTGTACCAATTTATAGTGGATGGCTTGGCCACAGATCTCCTCATCCAGGTGACTTACAAACATTATGACCTAAGCTGTCCAAATCCTTTGTTAAGAATCCTCACTTTTGCAGAGGCAAAGTTAAATAACTTGCCCACTGTTACGCAAACAAACTCTTTTTAAGAGTTCAGGTCTCCGATTCCCCAGTCAGCATGCTACTAGACTCTTATCTGCTTTCTGTGCACCAGGTTTCCAGCAGCAGAGAAAGCATGTTTAGGGGGTATGGAGAGGCAGTGGTATCTGCAACAAATGTATGCATCAGCCTAAGAGCCCCAGCAAATAGGCTCGTATTCCTCAGACCCCCTCCATACGCAGAGATAACCTCCTTTGCAAATCACTGACTCTTTATTAGGCTTACTGCTCATGCATAACAAAATAAATTGTTTCTAAGATTGGTTAAATAATACCATCTGTATTTATATGTGTACACAATGCAGAATAATCACATGGCTGTTTAAAAAAAAATAAGAAAAAAAAGATGAAAATGGGACCAATAACCAACTTGGGTTGCAAAATTTTTGTAAATAGTATTTCCAGCTTAGAAAGGGAGTCCTTAGAAAGGACTTTCTGCATAAAGAGACTGCACACCACAAATGAACACGTCTGTCACCAGGTCCGGGAAAGGAGAAAATCACAGGGCTGGCTGCACAAAGAGGTGGAGGGAGGGACAGGCGAGGGGACCTGACAGACCTCTTCATTCAGAGACGGTGATGATGAAAGGAGGGTTAATGCTTGGCCAACCAGTAACACCCTCTTCCAGGCTGTCTGAGGTGGTAATTTCTCTGCTGGTCATTGAATCAAAGGTTAGTTCTAGACCATGCCACGAACCAGAGGACTGAACCTCCTTCTGACACTTTCTAAATAGCCAGAGTAGGCATCCTTGGTTCTGTTTTAATATTTTTAAGCTTTCACTCTTCTTGTGTTTCCCCACAACAATGGCAAGTATTGAAATACTCAGAAAATAACCACGGTTAGGCTGGTGCTAGAAATACAGAGAAACAAGGAACACAGTAGATGGGTTGGCTGGTTAACTGCAAATGAGTTCTTCTTGCTGGGTGGAGTGTGTGCTGCAACGTGGAACCTAAGGGTGGGCTTTCAGAAATTATCCCGCTACTCCTACCACCTCATGCTTTCGCTTCAAAAACTTCTCCCACGTCCCACTCAAAGGGAACCTGGGACCTGTTTGCTGGACTGAATTCTACTCTCCACTGAAAGCAAGATTCTGTAGCCTGAGGCTGGACTATTATACTTGAGTTTTTCCTTTTCCTTTCAGTCTATTTGCCTGGATTTGATGTCTTATTATATACTTTGATTATAAACACCCTGGGAGGGGCCATATTTTATTCTGCGTTTGTGCAGCATCAAGTATTGTGGGTTCTGGGCTATGCTGAGGACCTTCAGGTGCTATGGTGATACAGATAACAAATTGAAATCACACGGTTATTACTATGGGTCTGCAGCGAGCTACCTAGTTATGGAAATTAATGGTACTTATAGATAGCCAACAGCATGCCCACAGACAAATCAGACCGTAATTATAATTTGGCACCACTGGAGCTACAAACCCCTTTATTGTAAGGGAAGTGGCCAATTTTCCTGCACCAAAACATTAGGCAAGAGCAACAGAGGCACAGACAGAACAACCCAAAGGAACTGGGGGTTTCCACGCATGCGCTAAATCCCCAGCTCTAAATTCTGACAACGCTTAGGGGATAAGTAGCTGAGATATCATTTTCTGTCCGGGCACATCTAGATAGTGCCAAAATGCCAAGAGGCCAAATGAAGGACATTCCGAAGGGGAAAACCCAGACCAGCATCTCAGGCTTCCCGCAGGGGACAATGCACACAGTTTGGTGGAGAGAGGGAGAGTGAGACTGGTGTATGCGAAGGATTATACTCACATAGGCTCCCACAATGCTGCTCTTGGCAGCGACGAAGATCAGACAGATGAAGATGGCTGATCCCAGCATGCCAACAGCACAGACAAGAGGATCGGCTCGCTGGGTTTTTAACCGGCACCATTTGGTTGCCCCAGCCCCTGTGATTACACCCAGGAAACCGGTGAAGCATGTGATCGCTCCGAAGATCAAGCTATTAAAAGGAAAAAAAAAAAAAAAAAAGGAGAGACAGGGTTTATTTTGATTTTTTCCCCAAAACGGGCATGGTCTTTGAACAAATTATTAGGGTAAACTGACTAATGGAAATCTGCCTGTTGGCTTTGCAAGTTGAAAATAAAACAAATGAGCTCCCCTGCTGAGTGCTTGTGATTTTAGCACTCTTGCCCTGAAATCAGGAAAAAAAAATAATGAAATTCAGCCTTGTACACAGGCATTGATCAGCACACAAAGAGATGCAAAGGGCTCATGTTGCTTCTTCATGTGGAACTTTGCTTCCTATCGCTGCAGAGCTATGTACACCCAAAATTGTGCAATAACCTGCACATGGATGGTGTGAAGGGAAATCATGGACAGAGCAGGCACTAGGAAGCTTAATGGAAAGGAAACCTAGCAAGGCTCTAAATACTAGTGACTTTCAACATACTTTGACTTTCTAACTCTGCTGCTGTGTTACACAACTGAAATGTGTTAATTCAAATTTAAAGAGCCATGAGCTGGCATGGATCTCTGCATTGTCTGTGCAGGACCTGGATTACAGAGGCTTCGGCAGCCACGCTGCAGTAGCTCCAGGGCAGCTCAGAATGTAGGTGTCATCCAGGAGAGGAAAACTCCTCTCTGCAAACAGCAGATGGGCGCTCTGACTGGAGCTGTATTTTCTGCTCGCTGCATTTTTGCAGAACAGGCTGAGACTGCCCGCTGGGCGCTCCAGTCCATGGTACTCCAAACCGCTGAGGGGTTTCCTTGAGACGGGATTGTGTCAGATAGAGCAGGCAGGTTTTCCTACTGTTATTTTCCCCTCACAAGCCAAAAAGCAAAGAAGCTGACAAAAGGCAGTTTATTCTATCTTTTATTCACTGGGAGAAATGCTTTTTTAGCATTTAATGTTTTGTGCCATCACGGTAAAGCACAAAACGATGAATTACTTTTCATAGCTTATGTTCTGCGAGTGATATTATATAACTGGGACTGGAGAAACCAAATTACTGGATAACACCAAGCAATCCAGACCAAAGCCTCCCAGATCTCTGCACCATTTTTCAGCAAAACCCAGCATACACAGTAGCGTACAGAGCAATGAAATACAGTCCTCCCTCACAAGAAACAAAAGCCTTCAGGGTCAGTCCCTGAAGCCTTTAGGGGAACCAGTCCAACCTCTGAATTACAGCCACTGCTGTGGCTACCCAACCTGCCAGCTCATTCTGCTGCTAGCACAGACAAGCGTGGGTCTTAAGAAACCAAATTCTCAGCTCTCCAAACATCCTCCAGTCTCTTTTTCTGCTTCTGCACTATAGCCTGGGAACTAAGACCGGGTTGAGGTCATTGCTTCTCCATTGGCTTGACTTCATGCGATGAAGTAAAGAAGAGAAATAAAACCTAGTTTACAATCCCAGCATTTCCTAGAATTGTTGCAAAGATCTAGAGGAAATTACAGACATTCTAGTAACCTGACACTGTGGGACTCGCCTGTTTCCTCTGGTAAATGAGCTCTCACCCCCGTCCCCCTTCTTTAAAGGAGTGCAGTAGGGATCTCACCTATCTTTGGTGCCGCAGGGCTGCGAGCTGCAGGTCTCTGCTGTCTTCTGCACAACCTGTGCTCTGTGCAGGTACAGAGGGATCCACATGCCCAGCGCCCCTGTGGCAAAGGAGACAGCGGAGGTGGCCAGCGACGAGAACACGTAGCTGCGGCTGAGGAGATGCAAGGGGCAAACCAAGAGAAGGGTTAGTGGGAAAAGTGGAAGAGGAGGAGCCCCAGGACAGGAGCCAGTGCTTCAGTGACAGTGTCCCACATACTGGCCACCCCCTTTGCTAAGGGACAGGGATAATACAAGGTACAAAGCAATGGGGAATAAGAGGCACGGAATACGTGATGCTCCACTGATAATAATGTACTTAACTCTTCAGGGGTGCTTCAGAGAGACCCATTTTTCATGGGACAATTTCAGAACTTAGTCACTAAGACATGATGTGTGGAGCACAGAACTTCCACTGGGATATCACCTATTTTCCTGGATTACCAGTTTCACTTCTCCCTCCCCATCCATGCCACCATTGATTACTACTTGGATAAACTAACAAAGTAAGTAATATAGAAATATTGATAAATTAACCATAGTCCTTTGATAGTGAATGACAATACCAGGAAGGCATTCTAGCCAGCAGTTCTAAAAATGAAGGACACCACAAGTTTCCCACCAGAATTCTGATGTAACACTGAATTCACAAGTATTTGCACATTCACAGGAAGCTTTCTGCAGCTGCTTAAACACTTGGGAGCATGATCTTTTATGCACATATACAAGCACCCAAGCAAATTCTGTGCTCGTGCATTCACTCACACGTGGTTGCATAAATATATATATTTAAACTTGCCATGTAGTGCAAACATTTGTGTATCTCCACCTCTTACACTGCTCTGGCATTTGACTCTCTTTTTCCCCTTAGCAGAGTAGCTCTTTCATGGAAGAAAAACGATCTAGGCATCTGAACAACAGTGGCACTAAAATTAGTGCAGGAACACAGTGATTTCTACACTTCAAAAGCTTTATTATGTCTGAAGTATGAGCCAAATAAAGCAGACTCGCTTAGATCTGAATCTTGGAAAGGTTAGAGCAAAAGTTGGAATCCATCATTGTCATTGCAGTCAGTATCTTGTGGAAATGTAACTGTGATTTTCTTTCCCAGGTCCTCAGACTAAACTTCCTGCAACTCCCTGCATGTTGTTACTTTCCAGTCTCCCAGTGCTAAGAAGCCCAGGCCACTGGATGTTCCAGTTAAGCATCAGAGGCAAGGCGTGCTTTTGACTAGAGCGCTCTTACTTTCTGATCAGTGCTTTCATGTCCCTCAACCAGGAGGTCCGAGCCTTCAGCTGTCCCCCGAGTTGTTCGACATTTCCTCTCTTAGCAGCAGGTACAAATACCAAGATGAGGGTCCCTGTTATCATTCCCAGGAGCGGAGATACCTGCAAGAGAGGAACAGGGTGTTAGCACAGGAGGCAGCAGGGTTTGCTTTGACTAGGCATAAGAAGCAGATCACACCAGTTTCGTTTCAGCGACCCCGTTCCTCTTTTACAGCTGGCCAGAACCTGGAAGCACGCTGCGGCATCCGCTCCTTCCCTTCCTCCCTGTCCTTCCCTGGACTCTCTCATCTCCCTCTGGAAGCACACTGCTTGGAGAACACTCTGATTCAGGCAGTCCATCTCTTTTGTGCTATACAAGTACCAAGATTCATCTAAACACAGTTCCTCAGTGATGTTTAGCTCTTTGGAAACCTACTCACAGCTGGGCTAAGAGACCAGCCAGCTTCTGGGAGCGTGCAGAAGCCTTTCGAAGGCAACGAGGCCAGGTGAAAGAGATCTGGCTTTGAAAATCCTCGCCTGACACGCATCCCTCTTCCAGCTAACCCACAATGGCTTTCCAATTCAGGTGGCTTCCGCAGATTACCTTAGTGTACAGAAGATCAATAAACATTGAAAATTCCGGCTGGAAGACAGGAAATGACACATTCGAGGGCTAGGTTTCCCAGTTTCCAATACTTTCTCCCAATCACTAGGCAGAAATACAAAGATCTCCCAGTGCTTTGCAAGCTACAAACGTGATTCCTGTTTTGACACTGAAATTCCATCATTGTCAGAATGGAAAACAGCTCCGTTAGGAAAATACAAATATGGATTTTCACCAAACTATCATTTCTTCTGTACATGCCATTTTAAAAATAAATTCCTGTTCCAAAAAAAATAAGCTTCCAATAAAAACCTGAGAATGGCCTTTACACAGCAGTGTTTCATGTTCAAAGACAACAAACCCAGAATTCTTCTAGGGAAGGGAACACAAGACAAAAACATTTCAGAACTGGAAAATCAGGAAAATCCCTCATCCAGGAATAAATGAAGCCTGATACAGTATCCTCAGTACAGCTGAACACAAGACACAGCACCGGTAAAAAAAAATGGAAACGCTGGGATTTTCTGGGGCCATATAAAGTCTCTTTGATTTTTATCTAAAGGCTTATAAAGGCTTATTCCTCCAACAGGACAATATCCGTCGATGCTCAGCAATGCTCCAATGGAACAACAACATTACTGCTGGATCCAGAGACGAAGCTGTCACTTGCCAATGGGCCCTTCTGTCTTCTCCAGCCCACTGAAGCACAGCTTATTCCTGACCTCCCCTGGCTTTGGATCCCAGAGCATCACCTGGGGCAATCTCGTACATCTTGCAAGAACACAATAATTGCCGCAGGGCCAGAGGCTGCTTTACTCTGATGTCAACACGTGCTTTCGACATGTGCTGCTTGACTATGATGACTAAGCGATGCTGTCCAAAGCAACCACCAGCGAAGCATGCAGCTTGTCGGATTCCCCACGATTCTATCACGCATCCATGTGT